AAAACACTTGCTAAAATTTTGGTGGGATTTGAGTTAAATCTACAGATTCAGCAAGAATTGATAATAAATGAAATCTTCCAATCCACAAATATTGTATATATCTTCATTTATTTAAGTCTTATTTAATTTCTTCCATCAAGGTTTTTTAGTATTCAAAACTATAATATATAAATCTATCATATTTTTTGTCAGATTGATCATTAGGTTCATTAATACCTAATGCTTGATAAGTGGTATTGCTTTTCAAATTTATGCTTGTTTGTTATTAATATATACATGGATTTCTGAATATTGGTCTTTATACCCTGAAGCCTTGATAAAAACTACTCATTAGTTCTGATTACTTTTCTGTGGATACCACATAGGATTTTCTACAGAGATGATCATGTCATCTAGGAATAAAATTTATATTTAGTCCTTTCTATTCTAGATGTCTTAATTTCTTCTTCTTGCTGTACTGAACTGGTTAGAACTTTCCCAGTAATACTGAATAGAAGTAGTGAGAGCAGACATCCTGGCAAACACATACTAAAGACCAGGCTAACTCTTCTGTTTACCTCCATTAAAGAAAAAGTTTGGTAGCTACTGGATGAACAAAAAAATAAATGGATGATGAGGTTTGGAAAATAGTCAAGCACTATTCCTAAGTGCTATAGAAAATAAAATTAGTCATTTATTGAGTATAACTAGATAATGGGAGAATTAACAGTACACGTTGTCTGAGCAGACTATATAATTAGACATTAACTGAACTAAGAGCAGAAAAAGCCCTTTACTTAACAGACTCATGACACATGATCCCCATCCCTGTTTGTAAAACCTGGCCAGTGTTCCTGCAAGCACTTTTAAAAATTATTTATTGGGGTGGGTGTTTGGTGTAGCAATTAAGATGCCTCTGGGAATGCCCGCATCCTACACTGGAGGCCCGGCTCTGCTCCTCATTCCAGCTTCCTGCTAATGTGCACCATGGGAGGCAGCAGGTGATGGCTCAGGTATTTCAGCCCTGCCACCCTGGATTGAGTCCCTATATCCTGGCTTTGGCTTGGCTTAGCCCTGAGCTGTTGCAAAAATTTGGAGAATGAACCAGCAAATGGGAGGTATCTTTCTTTCCCTCTCTCTCTCTTCCCTAGTCTCCCTGCCTTTCAAATAAATTAAAAATAAATAAAATTTTAAAATTATCTTTTAAATTGACACGCAATGAACATATTTATGGCACAATGTGATGTTTCAATACATGTGTGCATTGGGCAATGAGTAAATCAGTGAAATTAGTATATTTACCACCTCATACACTTATTCCATAAGCATTTACTTAGTTGTGCTATTTCAATACTGAGGGACCAAAAGAAAATTTTCAATTGAGAAAATTACTTAAAATACTTCATAAAAATTTGGATGAGAAAGTAATTTCTGAGAAATTGTACAGTAGAAACAATTGTCTCACTGATGTCTTCACTAATCTCTTAATTATGAAATATAATGAAGGCCTTCCAGTACTTAATTTCTACTTAATTGTCCTGAAGTGACTATTCCTGTTGCTTCTGACACTATGTTCCACAGCATTAGTCCATTTACTTCTACCCAGTTTCAGATTACTTCTTTGTCTCCTTCCCTTATTCTAGGGACTGTCAGATGTCCTCTGCTCTCTTTTAGTCTTTCCGTAATTTTATTCATCCACACACCTATCTACTTTATAATAACTCTCAAGTCTGTATCTCAATCCACAATACCTGCATCTGATAGAACTGGGAACCACGGCTTACATGGTCCTTTCTCTCACTCTTACTCATTTAATACATCATTAAACCCCATGATTTTATTTTCCCTTAAAGTCATCTTTTCTCCAAACCAACTCATAAATTCAGATTTTTATTTTATGTTTTGTTGTTGCCTACACCAGATGCTAGCAAATTTTTGCAGGGAACCATAACAGTAAATACTAGGCTTCTCATAATAACATTGTAAGAAAAGTTTGTGGCGTGTGCCTGAAAGCACTGGGAGCATTGCAATACAGGAGGCAACGTGAAAACTCAGAGGTTGCTTTGTCATCTCAGGTACAAGATGACAGTGGGATGAACTAAAGGAGAGGTGGTGAAAATAAAGATACAGGCATGGGGCCAGTTCTGTGGTGCATCAGGTTAAGCTGCCATCTGCAGTGCCAGCATCCTATATGGTGCTGGTTCGAGTTTCATCTGCTCTACTTCTGATACTGCTCTTTGTTAATGTGTCTCGGCACCCAAGTGGGAGACTTGGAAGAAGCTCTTGGCTCCTGGCTTTGGCCTGGGCCAGTCCTGGCTGTTGTAGCCATTTGGGGAGTGAACCAGAGGATGGAAGATCTCTCTCTCTTTCTGTTTCTTCCCCCTTCCCCCTTCCCCCCTGTAATTCTGACTTTCAAATAAGTAAATAAATAAATCTTAAAAAACAAAACAAAACAAAACAAACAAACAAATAAAAAGGCCGGCGCCGTGGCTCACTAGGCTAATCCTTCACCTTGCGGCGCCGGCACACTGGGTTCTAGTCCCGGTCGGGGCGCTGGATTCTGTCCCGGTTGCCCCTCTTCCAGGCCAGCTCTCTGCTATGGCCAGGGAGTGCAGTGGAGGATGGCCCAAGTGCTTGGGCCCTGCACCCCATGGAAGACCAGGAGAAGTACCTGGCTCCTGCCATCGGATCAGCGCGGTGTGCCGGCCGCAGCGCGCTGGCTGCGGCGGCCTTTGGAGGGTGAACCAACGGCAAAGGAAGACCTTTCTCTTTCTGTCTCTCTCTCACTGTCCACTCTGTCAAAAAACAAACAAACAAAAACCAAAAAAACTGGTACAATGTGGTGAGAGGTGAGATAGATAGAAAAAGGACTCAGGAGGTCTCCTTGGTTTCTGGCTTAGGCACCTGAATAGGTAGTGATCCCATTTGCCGAGATGGGGAATGCAAAAAGCCGTTTACAGGAGTAGGTAGAGGAGGAGGCTATGAGTAGTTCTGTTTTAAAATGTTGAACTCCAGGGGGTCTGTTAAGATATCAAAGTAAAGATATCTTAGCAGCAGCTCAATATGCAGGTCCATAGCCTAGGACTGATGATGAGCATGAGGATGATGATAGCTAACATTTATCGAGGGCTTACTGGATGTCGCATATTGTTTTAGTCATTTTGCATGTATTTTAGTCATCTCATTCTTCCAATAACCCTACAAGGCAACTATTACTATTATTCTCATGTTACAGAGGATGAAATCAAAGCATAGAGAGATTACACTACTTGCCTGAGATGATAGATTGATACTTGGCAGAGCTGGGATAGAAATGTAGATCAGTGGAATTTTGAAATCATGCTTCTAAACATTAGGGAGACATATATTTGGAGATTGCATATATTATGAAAGGTCACTGAATGCACAGGAATAAAATACAGATGAAAGCTGGGAGTGGAGGACTTGGAAACACTAATGCTCAAAGGATAAACACAGAAAGAGGACGAGAAGACTGGGCAGGAGCAGCAGGAACAGCAAGCAAGAAAAGCTTCAAAGAAGCCAAGACCAAGTGCTTCAAGGACCAACCATGCTGACAGCTCTACAGAAAAAAGGTGGTATAAAGACAGAAAAGTGTCCACTGGATTTAGTAACACTAAGTTATTGGAGATTTTGATGTGAACAGCTTCAGTTAATACAGTGGGATGAGAACTAGAATAGAATAATTTAGGAGGTATGAAAAATGGAGATGGTGAGCGCAGAACATGGATTACCTAAAAAAATGTTTCGTAAAGGGGAAGAAAGAGAAGCAGTTGCCTTAACATGCTTAGAAATTCATGACTTAGATCAAGCAAAGAAGGACAGGAGAAAGATGCTAACTGCTGAAGAGAGGGTTCCCAGGAAATGGAACTACACTTTGTAGTTAAGACCATAGGCTCTGAGATTAAAATGCCAAAAATTCAAATCCAGTCTGTTGGTTACCTTGGAAAAACTCTGTAATTTCTGTAAAACTTAACATCTCTGTAATATCAATTCCCTTACCTGTAAAATGGAAATATTATCACTCTCTACTTTATTATAAGGCTTATACAAGATAATGCATGGAAAGAAGGGTGTGTGCTAAGTGCTCAAAAAAAGGCTAGCTATTGTCATAAGCACAGGATCCAGAGCACAGGGAGAGGGGCTGCCTTATATCGAGAACAAATACCTTTTTTGTTTGTTTGCTTAAGTTATTTATTTATTTGAAAGGCAGAGTTACTGAGACAGAGAAAGATCCTCTATCTGCTGGTTCACTCCCCCAATGGCTGCAATGGCTGGAGCTGGGTCGATCCAAAGCCAGGAGCTACAAGCTTCTTCTGGGTCTCCCATGTGGTTACAGGGGTCCAAGCACCTGGGCCATTCTCCACAGCTTTCCCAGGTGCATTAGCAGGGAGCTGGATCTGAAGCGGAGCAGCCAGGATCGAACCGGTGCCCAAATGGGATGCCAGTGCAGCAATATGCCCTGGCACTGGCCTGAAATGAATGCATTTTTGTGACAGAGAAAAAAGAAGGCAACGATGGGAATAGATGGCAGGCAAGCTTGGGATGAGTGAGAGAAGACAGAGAGATCCTTACTAGTGGTTTCTCTGTTCTTGGTTAAGAATGGGGCAAGGTCATCTGTTGAAGTAATGAGGACCTGGTAAACTGGACTTGAGGAGAATGTAGAGCTATGTGGGGACACTGTGCAATGAAACATCAAAGGACCTCCAGCAGAGGAAGCCCCAAGAGCCCTCTGAGAAACCCACATCCTATGGCTCTATGATTTCTCCATCAGTGCTCAGCAACACAGACACAGGCTGGTGAAGGCTGCCCACAGACAGTGAAGTCACAGACAACCAAAAACGTCAGAATCACACTCGGGATCACTTAAAAAGGAAGGGCAAATGAAGAAATGAGCTATCAAAATAGGGGACTGCAAGAATCAAGATAATGAAATGTCTTAATATTCTGAGCATGCAGGGCATTTAAATTCAAGAGTTAGTGAAAAGAGTAAAATACTGTACCTTCGAACGAAATGTTGGATGAACAAAATAAACAGCCTTCAAATTCCTCTTGTACCTAATAAACAAAAGGGTCAGTATAAGTCATGCCTAAAACTTAAAACCACTAGGGAAAATTAATTCTTTACTTGAGTACATAAATATATGCAGAGAAAAAATTTTTTAAAAAGCTCTTGTTTATATATTAAATTTTCAATGAAATGTCAAAATTCAGAGAATATTTTACTACTTAAAGTATCTATTTTTATAGTAGGTACTGTTTCTGTTGGCTGTAGGCAGGACAAACAAATTTATTGTGTGTCATTTTTTAAATAGTGCTAGAATCTCTGGGATTACACTAAAGAACAGTTAAAACCATTAAAAATTATAGCAAAAATTAGAAACTAAAAGTTGAAGTGGTCACATTACAATAACAAATAAATATGAAGGTACTTCAAAAAATTTGTGGAAGATGAAATTAAATGATAAGTTTATTTTGGTACAAAACAATTTTGAAATTCATGCATAATTTTCATAATATGCATTTTCCAGAAACTTTTTGAAGACAACTCATAGGTTTATTATGTCCCAGAAATAGTTTAAAGGCCTTTTATTTGACTCTCATAACAATTCTATGAGCTGGACAGGAACTGTCACTGCCTCTATTTTAGCCCTCCCAAAGTTACCCAGCCATCAAGCGGTAGTACCAAGAACTGAAGCGAGGCTATGCGGCTCAAGATTCATACTACCATTTTCTACTCTATCATGCCTCTCCAGGTATACATGAAATTCTTTTTGACAGTTCAGTAATCACAATGGGTCACTGGAGGTTAACTGGAAGGGACTTCAGAGAAATTGTTTATTTCACAGTTGAGGCCTGTTCCAAGTTAAAGATTTGGTTGGTGGCAAAAGTAGAATTACAGTGGAGTGAAGCTAACACATACACAAGTATAGCTCATATTTAGGGGAAGCTACAAAGGTGTTGAGTAATGAAAACATTAAAATTCTTAATTAATTAAGATGAGATTTAATGGGAAAAGTAAGAGAGCTGGAAATTCATACCAATTTGCCTTCTTTGTATCTTAAACTATAAGATGAATTTTTCAATACAATCCATAATGACATTGTAATGCTGCAAATTACAAAATAGCTCCCAGGAAGGTAGAGTGCCATTTTTGTTTAGGAAACATATTAATGAGAAGAAATATTAGGTATTACATTTGATCTTTGCTGTGGGGTGTCATGTATTTTCCCATTAAAATTTCCATTATCATTTCAAGGGACATAAGGTTTAATGAAAATAATTTCCTAGCTTGCTCAAAGTCACTAGCCTGGGTTGAAGTCCAAATTCTGCATTTACAATTTTGAGACTTTGAGCAACATACTTTACCTTTAATAATGTCAATATTGTTCTATCTTTAAAATACAGTTAGTATCTCTGCTAACAAACCCAAGGGTTACTGGATCAAAATTATGAATGAATGTATTTTTGGTAAGTGTGACACATCATATTAATAGAAGATAGTATATTTATTATTTTATATATAAAATTGCTAAAAACCTCACACCTTTTCCAAAGTGTTTAAAAGTGGGAATAAGTTTATACTGTAAATATACATATTTACTTTAACACAAAATGTTTGAATTAAGGAGGACCTTCTATGTCTATACTATCTAATATATGTATCACACAAACTTTGTTACAAGAAATATCCTTTCACAGAACACACAGCAATGTATGCTACTGAATAAAATTAGAAAAGAAACTATTTCCCCCCCCTTAATAATTTTCAAAAATAACTTACTTGACATCAACAATATCATAGAGTTTCTTCAGGAAGTCAGAGTCCAGGTGATTGTACTCGCTGGTCAGTGTGTGAAAATATACTAATACATATTCCTTCACAGCAATGTGATCCATTACATGGATGAAATATAAGAGAGCCTAAAAGAAGAGGGGTAAACATAAAGATCAAGTTGCCCAGTAGTCTATTTCACAAATGCCAAGAGAGGGAAAGTCCAGAAGACTAATGTGTGCCCTCGTCCTTGCAGAAGACATCTCAGGCTGATGAGTATCAATCCCTTTTAAGATCTTCAGGAAAGTGAACTACCACAGTGTTTAACATTCTCATAGATGCCACAGTAAGCTCCCCTTCTGTCTTGTTCTGAGTGACAGAGGAGAACAATCAGTCCCTATCCTATGGAGTAACTCTATACGGGAAAGCATTCTTGAATCAACTACAGAATTTCTTCTCTCTAGGATCATGAACCAAAATCATCAGAAGTAGACTTAAAGACTTCTAATCATTCTTGAAGTTTCTGCTTGAGTTCGATCAGTCTCTGGTCTCTACTCATATGGAATCATGGCTCTCATGTAACCAAGACTTACCATGAAAGGATACAATGTGGTGGCCTACATGGCTCACTTAAGGGCTAATTTTCACAGCATCTTTAATGCTGATCTGAATGAGGAAACTGACAACAGGTTTAGTCAGAACACAGTGACAGGATAAGCAGCATTTTCTAGAGCTCTAGAAACGTTAACCCAGGTAGTTTAGAGAAATACTCCATTACACGACGGATGAACTTTAAGAGAAACACTAAAAACAAAACAGATACAATATGGGCAGGGCCAGTATGACCCAGTGGTTTAGCTGTAAACAATTACAAAGAGGAAACTAAGAGAGAATAACTGAAGGATTACAATACAACAGGTTGTTTTCCAATCCCTGCTCGGGTGATTAATCCCTGGCATTAACAAGGATTACAATCCAACTGCTATTGGGGCACACAGAGGAGGGCAGTAAGAAAACACAGTATCTTTCCAGCTGTTACCTGATTTGGACCTTAAAATATAGCTCATTATTTCATATAAATTGAAACATGTTGAATATTCAGAACACCATGCTAGTAGGCACTAAAATCAAGTGTAGAAATTTATGTTTTTATTGTTGTCAATCACATTATTGATGATGATAATGAATGTCACACTGATTAAGAGCATAGAACAAATGATTACAAATACAACACTACTAACCAAAGGTGAATCTGTCCTCTGGGTATGTGTGTCTATTTTTTTTTTCCGATCTAGATTGCTCCTTTGTTCTCTTTATGTTCATGCTCCACTTCTACTCCATAGCAATTATGGAGCCCCTGTTTGGTTTACATTTTCCAACCATATCTTACCCATAGCAATTATGGAGCCCCTGTTTGGCCTTACATTTTCCATCCATACCATAAGAATCTTTTTGTATTAAAAGGAATAGGCACATGACAGAAAAATGTCAAAGACAAATTCTCCCCCAACCATAAAATCCATTTTGAGATATTTTACTTTTCTTCTGTTTTAATCTTGAAGTTCCAAGGAGGATGAAAAAACTCAATTAAGGTCAGTGTAGACATATTTAGTATATCACTTTTTCTCTAACTGGTATCATATCATAAACATTTGTCTACAGTACTGGCCTATAAAACCATAACATTGGAAGATTACAGAACATTCCATTTGTGGGTGTACTCCCATTTACCTGTTAGAAATTTGTTATAACTTTTTGTTACAAATGACCCTGCGAGTAACATGCCAGGTTCATTGCTTACACAAAACTTTTAGCCAATTATCAGGGATCTAAAATCTGAGGAGTTAGCCAGAAGCAAATACCAGCTTTTTGCACACTGTGTTTTATCTTAGAATTGTGCTTACTTTTACTATAATTAAAAATACTGTTCAGTTAAAGTTATTTTTTGGAGTCAGTTTCTAATTTACTGATGTTCTGGGAAGATTTATATATATATATATATAAACATATATATATACACATATATCTGTGGAGTCTATTGTCCCTTTGAGTGTTCAACTTTGGGCATTTTTTTTTTTTTTTTTTTTTTTTACAGGCAGAGTTAGACAGTGAGAGAGAGAGAGAGAGAGAGAGAGACAGAGAGAAAGGTCTTCCTTTCCGTTGGTTCACCCCCCAAATGGCCACTACGGCCAGTGGTGCTGCGCTGATTCGAAGCCAGGAGCCAGGTGATTTCTTCTAGTTTCCCATGTGCGTGCAGGGCCCAAACACTTGGGCCATCCTCCACTGCACTCCCTGGCCATAGCAGAGAGCTGGCCTGGAAGAGGGGCAACCAGGACAGAATCCGGCGCCCCGACCGGGACTAGAACCCGGTGTGCCGGCACCACAGGCGGAGGATTAGCCTATTGAGCCGCAGCGCTGGCCTGTAGCCACTTTCATACTTTGGATTATTTCCTTAGAATAAATTCTCAAACAGTGAGTGCAATCAGTTTTGTAGTTTCAATTCCCCTCTGACAATGATTAATGGGTAATTTTGAAGGTGAAAAAATATTTAATTCACTTTTTTGTACTACTTACTATTCAACTGAACATTTTATATTTTATTTCCCTGTTATAATTTTTTTTTTAGGTATCATCCATTTTTGTTATTTGCCTCCAAATGAAGGAATCATGGAACTAGATAAACTACATTTTGGGTTTTTTCTCTTTTGAAAGACATTCAAGCACTAATTTTTTTTTTTAAAGTAGAATTTAATTGTAAAACTGTAATACAGAATGACTACAAACACTTGTCAGTTATATCAACATCCAAAACAAAGCAGCTGTGATTTTGGAAATCATTTTGCAGCATTCCAGTATTTTTGTTTCTTCTACAGAGAAAGACCAAACCTCTAACCCAAGTGAAACAGTACATATCGACTCCCAGAACCACAGGTGCTACTCGGCCAGAGAGGCCCAGTGCAGCTTCATCTCATATTGTAAGCCCTGATTCCAAAATTTAAATCAACAATATTTGTAAAACAGAGCCTTTGATGGCTTACCTTGTCCATATCTATTAATGTTACAGGAATGTTTCTTCCAACCACCACCATCACTGTGCGACCACAGTTATCGACACCTACAAACAGGAAATGTTATCAGCACCCAGAAACTTTATTCCAAGAGTATTATTTGTCCTGGGCTCTTTTGTACAAGAATATCCCACACACATTTAAAAGACTGAAATGCAGGAAGTACTTTTTTCAAATTTCATATTCCGATTTCTTTTTCTGTGTAGAAAACAATACTTTTTTTTTTTTTTTTTAAGCTTCATGAGGTTTGGATCACTGCCCTGACTTTTAAGATAAGATCTCTTAAAGATTTCAGATCAGGGACAGCCAAAGATCTTTTGATAGACAGCATTTTGTTTAAACTCACAACTTTCAATAACATTAGTGATCCAGGAAAAACTAAGTAGCATTCAAATCTGAAAATTAATAAGCACTGTCTGAAAAGAAATCTAATGATGAAAGAGCAGGAATCTGGCAACTTTCACTGTCTCTGTTATGTAAGGTTTGCATTTTGTAAAAGCAAATATACTTTCATAAGCAAAATAAAAATATAAAAAGGAAAAGATGCTAGGGAGAAATGGTAATGTAGAACTGTAAACTGAAATTTTTATAGATTGAGATGCTATTTCTAAGATCCTGATAATGAGCAAAAACTTTGCATTGGTACAAAAACATTTTATTCAGAGCAAATGGGTGAAATCAGAGGAAAATGAATTCTCAAATAACATGCTGGGTCAGGTCCTTAATTAGTAAAAGATTAAGTTCCCACCATCCTTAAGCTCACCTGTTTGGTATAAGGCTTTTAGGGAAGCAATATCAGACAGATCCTCAGATCTTGCTTGACATAGCCAACGATTATAACTAGAGAAATAATAAAGGTTATGATGATTATAATAAACATTATAAATTAAATTTACAAATGGGACTGGTTTTTATCATCTCTCTCTGTCTCTAAAGAATTGGTGTTTCATTATAATGAGGTAGGAGTGAACGAGGCCATTATACATACCATGCAGAATCTCTACATTATTGGTTAAATAAACACAAATGAGTTGCTGGAAAAGGAAGCTGTTCATATTACATTATTTTTAAAAATTCTCATGATCAAATGAAGACTATACAGATAAACGAGTAAGAAACCACATATATTCAAATTTTTTTTTTTTTTTTTGGACAGGCAGAGTTAGACAGTGAGAGAGAGAGAGAAAGGTCTTCCTTTTCTGTTGGTTCACCCCCCAAATGGCCACTATGGCCTGCAAGCTGAGCCGATCCGAAGCCAGGAGCCAGGTGCGCCCGCCCACCCACCCCCCACGGTCTCCCACACAGGTGCAGGGCCCAAGCACTTGGGCCATCCTCCACTGCCCTCCCAGGCCACAGCAGAGAGCTGGACTGGAAGAGGAGCAACGGGACAGAATCCGGCACCCCAACCGGGACTAGATCCCGGGGTGCCGGTGCTGCAGGAGGATTAGCCTAGTGAGCTGGGGCGCCGGCCCAAGTTGTTTTCTAATTGTCTTATGATTACATCATCTCCATAAGCCTGTTACACAGAAAATACACCATATATAATTAGTTAGATATATAACTAAAATATATTATATATATATTATATATATTATATATAATTAGTTCTAGTAGAAAGGATATAACAAGAGGTAGGTGAATATTTCTTGATTTCTGTATTCTGTTCACTTGTCAAAGATTAATAAAACATAAATGCAATGCTTACACCATAGTATGCCGTCAAATATTTACTGAGTGAAATAATAAGCATGAGTAATACACAGGTATTTTGGGGGCCTGAGAGGAATAAAGGAAAGAGTTGGCTTCAAAGAATTCGAAGTTGAATATGAGATAGATACATCACAGAGACACTTAACTCTGTAACAGACTGAGACAAGCAACCCGAAGGGCTAAGCACTCTGTTAGTCATGTAAGCTAAGAGGAGAATGTAGTGGTAGTGGAGTTGGGAGGGTGGTGGTGAGTGGAAGCAGGTCCTGGAAATGTTGAAGAAACAACCGCTCCTTTCTATGTATCATCATCTTCTTCTACTCTTAGTCAAGGCTTTATCCACTTATTGCAATGTCTGTTTTCAGTGTATTAGACCTCAAGAGAGGCAATTTATCTTTATTTTCAGCCAACTGCTAGGGTTAGTTTCTGACACTCACTCACTATTAATTCAATGAACTCTAAAAAACCATTTTTAAAGCTGGAACTCAGGTACACAACAGACTTAAATATGCTTGTTGTTTCAAAACACTCTTATTGGTACATGCATGGTACACTTTAAAAAAGTGGTGGTACAGGTTTTTAAAATGATGTAGTAAACATCCCCAAGCTTAACACCCAAAACAAAAATTAACACATTCAACATAACCTGTATCTAACCACGTGGTTATGTATCTCCAATTTTAAGCCTTAGCTCCTTCTTACCATCACCCAGAATCCTATGTTCATTACTTCCTTGATTTTCCTTTTTATATTGTATAGCCTGTATCTAACCACGTGGTTATGTATCTCCAGTTCTAAGCCTTAGCTCCTTCTTACCATCACCCAGAATCCTATGTTCATTACTTCCTTGATTTTCCTTTTTATATTGTTTTCATTCATCTATATGTATTCAATGTACCAAGTTTTTATTTAACAATTTAAAAAAGTTTGTTATGCTGTATGTGACCTTTTGGGTCTGATTTTTTTTTTTTTTTTTTTTACTTAATAGATTGCTAAGATTCATCTATCAAACTGGGTTTCCATCTTGTTCATTCATTTTAACTAATATAATGTATAAGCATTCATAGTATGTGAAAACTGTCTTTTTTTCATTCATTCTCCCATTGATAGGCATTCAGGCTAGTCCCAGGTTTCTGCTTTTGTGATCGGTGTTACCATCAACTTGTTTTGCATGTCCCCTGTACACATGTGCGTATGTTCTCTTGAACAGATGGCAAGCAGTAGAAGCACTAGGTTATTGGGTACGTTCAATTTAAGGAGTTAAGGCCAAACTTCTTTTCCAAAGCATTGCACCAATTTATACTTCTATAATCAGTGAATGAGATCCTGTGATTCCACGTCCTATTTGACCACTGGTATTATCAGATGTTTTGACTTTTGCCAGCCAGGTTTTAAATGATATGTTTCTTCTCTTGTAACTGATGAGATTGAGATCCTGTTCATGTTATGGAACCTGTTTCTTCCTCAGTGTGAAGCCTGTTCATAGCATTTGTCCATTTTTTTTATTGAGTTTTCCTTTTTTCACTGATACGTGGTTCTCTACATATTCTGAATACAACCATTTGCCAGTTGTGTGTACTGTGAATATATGCTCCCATTCTGTAACTTGCTTTTCACTTTCTTGGCTCTACTTAAAGAAAAGTAAAGTTCTTAATTTTAATATAAGCAAAGGTTCTTTTTTGTTAATAGTATTTTTTATGCCTTATTTAAGAAATATATTCTTTATCTAAGGTCTGAAAGATCCCAACCTATAACTTCTTTCATGAGTTGTAATACAAAACAAAACAAAAGTCCTTAATCCATCTAGCAATGATTTTAGTCCATGGTGTCAAAATGCTTTTAACCTTGATTAATTGTGACTTGCAACTTGAGATCCAATGATAGTTTCTGGTTGGCAAAATCTAGGAACATGGGAAGAAGGTCTATGACTTCTGACAGATTCTTAAAGGGTTTATGATTTTAAAAAGGCTAGAATCACTGCTGAGGGGCTCTGGCATAGCGAGTAAAGCCATTGTTTGCAGTATCAGCATCCCATACGAGCATCGGTTCAACTCCTGTCTACTCCTCTTCCAATCCAGCTCTTTGCTGTGGACTGGGAAAGCAATAGAAGATGGTCCAAGACCATGGGTGCCTGCACCCATGAGGGAGATCTGGAAGAGGAACCAGAACTGGCTTTAGATCAGACCAGCTCTGTCTGTTGCGGTCATTTGGGCAATGAAGCAGGAGATGGAAGACCAATCTCTCTCTCTCTCGCTCTTACTCTGCTTCTGCAACTCTGCCTTTCAAATAAATAATCTTTAAAAAAAAAAAATCACTGCTGAGAAACTGGTGCTGCTGAGGTTTCTAATTCACCTTTAGGTGAACTTTAGTCCAATAACTCATGATTGCAATCTTCATCCTCCTCTTTATTTCAGGTAAGTCTCCTCCACCTCCACTACAGACTATATAAGTTTGATTAGGTAGTCATATTTTTTTCTTCCAGTCATCAGTAGTTGTGGGGAGGGAGTATAAACAAAAGATGCTATGCTTATCTCAGCATTCAACGGAGATGAGGCTTGCCTTGTTTTCCTCTAAACTTCATTATTCAAAGACTATTTTAGGTTTTCCATTATATCGCTTAGAAATTGCATCTTATTTTTTGCTGTACTTTTTGTATTTTATTTCAGTAAAGACATGAAATCCTTTGTTTCAATCCAAAAATCAGAACAAAGCTAAAACAGGAAAGTATCAACAGCTCAAAATAGTTTCTGGTTTGTGTACTGCTTATCCCAAATAGCAAGTTTCTATTACTTGATGAGAAAAATAGAATAATCATACATAAAAAAATACACACAATATGTCAAAATGATGGCAAAAGTAGAATGGCAGAAATACTGTCTACAGAGTTTCTCAATGGGTTGTAATCATCTGAAGTTCAACAAAGCTAACATAACCCAATCCCTTCCAGTTAATTAATTACCATTCACCTGATTACTCAAAGATTGAATGATAAAGGAAATTTAAACAAATCACTCTTAAAAGACCAGTAACTAACCTATTTGTGTAAAACAAGTATCCCAGGGAAAATGCTGTCTCAGGAATTCACAGTTTTTCTAGACCTTATGAAACTGTCTATCGCAGACTCAGTTACGACCTTTGTTCTATTCTCTTACTGCATCCAGTACTAATTGATTTAACATTTTTCTTTTATGCAAGACCCTAAGCCCTACGAGGGTGGAGGCTCTATCAGCCTGCTTGTCGCTCTGCATTACCAGTAGTCTACAGCACAACATTATTAGTAAGGGCTTAATATTTAACAATGAATGGGATGATGTTTTTGCTGTGAGAATAACAAGAGTCACAGGCAATTGGACTGTAAATCAACCAAGGAACACCAAGGAAAAGAAAGAAAATACTACAGTAAAATCATTTTTACAATCTCAAAATCTTCGAAAAAGAATATCTAGTTTCTTTCTGAATTTCTTTAAGTAAACCAACTTCTAGCTTATGACACACCCAAATCAAAGTTAGAACACAACAGGAGACCTAGAAAGTTAGTCTAAGAATTAGACAACACGTCTAATTTTTTTCAGACATTGAACAAATACTGCAAGGGATACTTAGGTGTTAACACAGTGCTACAAAGTAGTGATACATGTTAGGCATCTTCTAACCAGATTCCAAACCCAAAATGTTCCAAAACCCAAAAGTTTTTGAGTATTAATACCCAACACAACACTACAAATGAAAAATTACTACTTTATGTGATGGGTCACAGTAAAAAATAGGCACTCAAAATGTGTACAAAATTACTCTTAAGATATGTGAAGATACATCTGAAACAGAACAAATGGTGTGTTAAGACTTCTGTCCCATCACTAAGATCTATCACTGCTGTTTAGGCAAATGCTTCAAAATCCCCCCAAATCTGAAATCCAAAACACATCTGGTCCCAGACATTCTGGACAAGGGAGGCTGAACTAGAGTCAAACTACTGCCAATCAATGACATCCTTTAGCATTGCAACTGATAAGAGAATGGAAGGCTTTGAAAAAGATAATAAAACCCACTTCCCTCTCAGAGATAAAAATGTGTTCAACATCTGTTCAACCTGAATATAATCAACAGAACATTATTTGAAAATAGAAACTGAT